TGGTCTTCTAGGCTGCAACCACACGTTGCTGGCTGATGTCAAGCTTTTCATCCACCACAGCCCCCCAGTCTTCTGCAGGGCTGCTCTCAATGAGTTGCTCTCCCATTCTGTACTCATGCCTGAGATTGCCCAGGCCCAGGTGCATCACCTTGCTCTTGGACTTGTTGAAACTTACGAAGTTCACATGGGACCACTTCTCAAGCTTGTCCACGTCCTTTTGGGTGGCGTCCCTTCCTTCTGTTGCATTGACTGCACCACTCAGCTTGGTGTTGTCTACAAGCAGGCTGAGGAGGGACTCAGTTTATCATTGATAAATACATTCAACAGCACTTTTTCCAAGGCGGGTTCCCGAGGGACACCACTTATCATCAGCCTCTAGGTGGACATAGTGCTTTTGACTGCAACTCTGTCTGTGGCCTTCCAGCCAATTCCCTATCCACCAAATAATACAGCTTTCAAATCTCTCTAACTAAGAGGTCAGGATGTCATGCTGGAGTTTGTCAAAGGCCTTACAGAAGTCCAGGTAGATGACATCAGTCAGTTTTCCCTTGTCAGCTGATAGGGTCACTCCATCATAGAAGGCCACTAATTTGGTCAGGCACAATTTGCCTTTGATGAAGCCATGTTGGCTGCCTTGGTTCTTCTCCTTGTCCTGCATGTGCTTCCAGGAGATTCTGTTCCATGATTTCCCAGGCACAGAGGTGAGGTTTGCCATTTTGTAGTTCCCTGGATCTTCCTTTCTACCTTTTTAAAAGTAGGAGTGATGTTTCCCTTTTCCCAGTCACTGGGGGCTTCACCTGACTGCAGTGACCTTTCAAATACGATGGAGAGAGGCCTAGCAACTACATCATACAGTTCTCTCAGAACCCTGGGATGGGGGTCATTAGGCCTTCTCCAGACTTGTACCTGTTCATTTTCATCAGATGGTCTAGAACGTGCTCTTTGCCTACAGTGCAAGGGACTTTGCTCCCCTGCCAAAACCATATTGATTCTGTGAAGGTTGGAACACCAAAATGCTCCTCACTTTCAAGGATTCAGGCCTGTGAATATATCTAGTGCATTAAAATTGTCATTTCTTAAGCATGTAATTACAGTTATGTTGTAGGTGTAGCACTGGAAGTACAATCCTGCTCACAATTAGTGGGGTAGGCACTCCAACATGGTGACCTGCTGGAAATACAGGACCCATCTGGAAAGCAGCTTTGCAAAAGAGGACCTGAGAGTCCTGGGAGTCACCAAGTTGAACATGAGCCAGCAATGTGCCCTTGTGCTAACATTGTTCTTGGCTTCATTAGCCAAAGTATTGCTAGTATGTCAAGAGATGTGATCCTTCCCCTCTACTCAGTATTAGTGAGGCTGCACCTGGAGTACTGTATACAGTTCTGGGGCCCTCAGTACAAGAGAGACCTGGACATACTGGAAAGAATCCAACAGAGGGCCACCAAGATGATCCTGCAGTCTGGAGTACCTCTCCTGTGAGGAGAATCTGAAAGAGCTGGGATTGTTCAGCCTGGAGAAGAGGAGGCTCAGGGCAGATCTTATATATATATATAAAAACTTCCCATGAAGGAAGAGTGCAAAAGAGGATGGAGCCAAGCTGTTTTCATTTGTGTCTGGTGCCAGGACAACAGTCAGTAGGCACAAACTGGAACACCAGAGGTTGTATCTGTACATTAGGAAGCACTTCTTGTGCAGGTGATGGAACACTGGTACAGGATGCCCTGAGAGGTGGTGGAGTCTCCCTCCTTGGAGATCTTCAAAAGCTATCTGGACATGGTCCTGAGCAACCAGCTCTAAATACTGCTGCTTGGGGAGGGTGGTTGGACCAGATGACCTCTAGAGGTCCCCTTCCAACCTCAACTGTTCTATGTTTCTGTAACCCAATGTTAAGGTAGCTTAAGACAACAGTGCTTGAGCAGCAAGTAGTCATTTTCATTACTGTCACTGGTACCATTTTTTCTGAAAGAAGCTTTCTTCATCTAGGGAGTGTCAATCTTGCAAATGATGCAGGTTTGTTTTGGGAAAAAAAAAAAAAAAAGAGGGAAGGTATGTGTAATGAAAAGTCACACCGTAGTACCTAGTAGATAGAGGTTACCAGACTATATAAATGTGCTGACAGTGTTTATGTTTGCCTGACATACCACATACCTTGAAGCAAACAGGAACATTTACTTTTTTTGCGTGCTTATCTTGGCAGGGGCAGAGGCATTTGGCAATGTACAGTCATTTCTTTATACAGTGGATTGCTGATAACTTGCACCCTAGCAAAAGCTGCTTTGGCTTACGAGGAACTTTAACTGGTCTGTTTGATAGGCTCTCAGACATAGTCATCCTGAGTGCTGAACAGTCTTGTAAGCAAAAGCCCAATCATGATAATAAAAATTAAACTACTAATATGATATATATCCAGAATTTAGAAGTGGGCATGCTAGTAAGATTATACTTGATTAAAAATACATTGGGATAAATCACTGGCATTTCAGAGTAGAAGAATCATCTTAATGCTATAGTACATGAAGCACTTGAAAAATGTTCCTATTGTCTTCCTCCCACCCCATCTCAGCAAGAACTGCAAAAGTTGTGTATATGTACAGAAGCATTGGAAAACACCTGTTATTTAAGTACTATGAATTGAACAGAATATTTATGCAGTAACTGTGGAAAAGCAAGTGTAAAAGTGTATTATCCATCTTAAATATAATGGGAAAATTTGCTTAATATGTGCTTAATTGCTTTTCTTCTGACCAGGATGAAAAACAAGGGCAGGCCCCTTCAAAGTTGTGCAGTTCTGTGTACTCTTCTTGCTAACAAATATTCTGCAACTGACTTTGATCTGTAGCTCAGGATGAGTTCCAACCTTTTAGCCTCATAAGTGCTATGACTCCTATTTGGATTCTGCACCTGAATCTCAGCAGTTGTTCAGCCTTGAGCAGTCTTGTTGCCACAATTCTTTGTCTCATCTGTTTGGTGAATAACTGCTTTGGGACAGCAGTTGAGAAATGATATGGATTTCTACTTAAGCCTTCTTATTAATGCAATTCCTTATGCAAAAAAAAAAAAAAAAAGGATGCTTTTGTCATCTTTCGTGCTCATACATGTGTGTTCTGAGCATGTCTTCAATTCACTTGTCCAACCATCCAACCATGAAACATAAATGAGATACAGGAATCGCATGCATAGACATTATCAATTTGTTTGGTTTATAACAGTCAACTGCCTTTTACCCTTCCCTTCTGTGAATATTGTGGTATTGCATTGTGTGACGGTTTCTAATGTTACCTTCTGTAGGAAACAACAGAAAAGTAAAACTTTTTTGTTTCCCTCTGGCTCCTTTTTAAAGAAATATCTTATCAGCTCTTGGGCATATTCAGTTGCTTTAGGAAACAAGCCCACGTATATAGATGTCTATTATGGATCCAGGCATCTTGCTTGTTCCTCTTTCAAACTGTGCAATACTGGGAAACACACAATAAAATACTTTTGAAAGTACTAGCTCAGAACAGAAAATGAAATTGAATTGCCTACTGTTGGTTCCATTGGAGATTGATGCAATGCTTTAACTTGAACTACAGTAACTGAAAATTTCTGGGAAGAAGGTACATTTGGAAAAGAAAGAGCAGTTCTGAACACAACAATATATTAGAAAAATAAAGATATCACTGGGGAAGAAGTAGCTTATTATTAGAAAGGATACTCCTGTCTCACTGTTTTTATCCACTTTGGCCTCTTGAAGAATGCTGTGAATGTAACAGCAGCATCTAAAATGTGAGTTATTGATGCACTTAAAAGAGAAGAGCAAAAAAAAGGAGCTCGCCAGTATAATAAAAAGTGTTCTTTTGCAGTAGTATTTTCATTATTTTTAAAAACAAATTAAAAATACCACCCTGAACCTGAAGCCTTTATTAGCAGCTACCTCTGCCCTGGTCCTTGAGTAGAGAAGACTTTAAACATCATGGTGAAAACAAAGAAATAATTTTGTGTACTTTCCCCAAGGAGTAGTCCCATTGCTTGTATTCACTATCTCAACCTTCAGTTTTCATGTACTTGAAATCATGCAAGGAACAAAAATAGACATCACAGAAGTGCTAAAACTACCAGGGAAACTGAGCCTTTCAGCTTTTCCAAAATACTTACTCAAGAAAATGTAAATTTAAACTAAAAGAGGGGAGATTTAAATTAGATATAAGGAAGAAATTCTTTACTACAACGTCAGTGAGGCACTGGCACAGGTTGCCCAGAGAAGCTGTGGATGCCCCGTCTCTACAAATGTTCAAGGCCAGGCTGAACGGGGCTTTGAGCAAACTGGTCTGGTGGGAGGTGTCCCCACCCATGGCTGAGGGTTGGAACTGAATGATCTTTAAGGTCCCTTCCAACCCAAACAATTCTATAATAATTATGAGGAAATGGTATCAGCTTTCTGATGAAAGCTGTGTGCATGCAGGTTCTATTTTCTATTTAAAACACTAGTTCCCAGCTAGAAAGAGAGACATAGGCACACAGCTAGTGCTGATATTGAAGATGAAGTGCAGGAACAAGCATAGGACAAGTTTAACTTTTGTCATGATACTACACGAGCAACAGGTAGAAACCTTTTGTGGAAGATGTCTGGAAGAGCAGTGACTAGCCAGGGATTGCTGCTGCAGGACTTATGGTGCTGCAGCTCAGAACCACTGGATAGAAACCAACAGCTGGAAGATCTTTTGACGGTTGAGGTGACAGAGTGATATCCATGGCCATTATCAGTAGAGTTAATAGTACGATTTAATGTGGTTTCCCACTTCCCAAATACGTGAGGTGAAACGAGCTGAAAATGTTTGCTGTGACTCCTTTTCTCCCTCTGATGTTTACGTGCCTTGTATTATTTGTCACTGTAGCTTTGATTTTAACAAGTAAGAAGTGGCAAAGAAATAAATCGCAAAGTACTGTCTTTTTCTTGCATTTCAGCGCTGTAGTTGGCTGATGTGTTTTTTCTTCTCCTTTCTTTCGTTTCCCCAAAAAAGAGCCTACTCCTTTCACGTTACTGCAGATGGTCAGATGCAGCCTGTTCCTTTCCCTCCTGATGCCCTCATTGGTCCAGGAATCCCTCGCCATGCCCGCCAGATCAACACTCTGAATCACGGGGAAGTTGTGTGTGCAGTTACCATCAGCAACCCCACAAGACACGTGTACACGGGTGGCAAGGGCTGTGTTAAAGTCTGGGACATCAGCCAGCCTGGGAACAAGAGCCCTGTTTCTCAGCTGGACTGCCTGGTAAGTGAACAGGAACTTAGGCAGAAGGCTAACTTCTCCTCGGAGACTCAATAAGGAAATAGCTGTCCTTGTCTGGATTTTGTTCGTATTACAAGGAAATAGCAGGCAGTTCTGTTTCCTGCTTTATACATTTAGCTGCCTTTTTTTTTAAACACTGAACAGGTGGTGTTACAGAAAAAAGGAATGGGTTTGTTTATGGATAAATATCATCACTAAGGGTGAAATAATATTTTAGATAAGACTTCTGAGTAGAGTGTACCTGATTATTCCCCCCACCCAAGTCATGCTGGTGATTTTTGCACTGCATGGGTTTAAAACAAAAGTAGCCTGTCTGTAGGGTGTTTCATTTGTGCCAGGAGTCATGACCACTTTTTGTAAGAGGGTAGCAACCATAAAATAAAATAACGTCACAAGGTACCAACGTCACTTTCTGTTGTTACACTATTGTTATTGTTCAGCACGTTACACATCCTTCTGGTTTGTTTTCACATTTCCGAGATACAAAATGGATTGAGTGAGGTAGTACAGCCAAAAAGCTAAATAGAAAACCTAGTTGCTCAGTAAGATGCTTCTTATACTAGAAGCAGTATATAAACTAGAAGCAGACAATGTCATAAAGCACAATAATATGTGTATTCCAAATTGAAACAATTCTAGTTTAAGTGTTGATCCAAGTAAATGTTTGTTTGTTTGATTGTTTGTTTTGCTGTTGTTTTATTTTTAAGTCCTTGCCTTTTATTTGCTTCTAATTCCATGGTGTCACTTGTTTAGCAGTATACATGTGGTTGTGTATGCATTCTGTTTCATGGCAGGTTTGACTCTACTCAGTCTTAGCTGCCTTCATGTTAGTTATGGAACTGTATGGCTGGCTAAGCCAGCATTTCCACTGTAATACTTAACTTCTCCTTCTCTGTGACTTAAAAGAAACAACAAACAAAAACAACAGCAAACCCATAATTATAGAAATGTCTTTGATTTCTACCTGCGCTACTTTTTATTTATTTTGAGTTACTGATCTTATCCCTCAGTTTCCTAAAGAACTGTTACCATGTTGGAAAAAATGTCATCAAATATATGTAAGCTTAAGGAGTCAGAGAAATAACAGAGAAACAATATAAATTCAGGACCAGAATGGGAATATTCTGACTCAACATCTTAACTTTAAAATGGTGAATGCAAAATATTGATTAAAAGAAAACTCCAAAATTTGAAAGGCATGAGACTCGAGCTGTATTTTCCTAAGTGATTACAAATGAGACGTCATTTGATTTTTGGTAAATATTCTTGTGGTGCTGGTAGTCTTAACTGATGTAGTGCACTTTCTCAAATGCAAGCTTACTTTGGCTTTGTCTCTGTGTAATGAGATGAAGAACTTCATTGGGTTCAAAATATATTAGACTCTAGCAATAGGAATCTGCAGTTAAATTTCTGCAGCTGCAGTCTCTGGTTAGTAATGAGAAGTAGACATTTGAGACCTTTCAGGGTCTGCTGGTTCCTTTTTTGTACTTTGGTACTGGAAAAAATCACCTACTGTTTAAAACTTGGATGCAGTCAGAATCATATTAGTGGCCATTATTGGCATGCATGTATTAACATAACCAAGATGATTTGTGTTGTACAGAACAGAGATAACTACATCCGCTCTTGTAAATTGCTGCCTGATGGATGCACCCTTATAGTTGGCGGGGAAGCCAGCACATTATCCATATGGGACCTGGCAGCACCAACTCCTCGTATAAAAGCAGAGCTGACATCCTCAGCCCCTGCCTGCTATGCTCTGGCTATCAGCCCTGATTCCAAGGTGTGCTTTTCATGCTGCAGTGATGGGAACATTGCAGTGTGGGATCTGCACAATCAGACATTGGTCAGGTGAGTCATTATTTGTTTACAGACAACTTTTATTAAAGTTAGTCTTTGAATAGCTAGATAAACATCTATCTCCCTGAATAATGGTTCATAACAGCAAAACAAATAGTATTTCTCTTGTAAAGAATGAAGTTTGTGCTCAGGTTGGACAGAAACTATTTCTGGTAGCTTCAGCCTAGTCTGGAAGATGGTTTTTGAGGACCTAAAGGTCTGTTACATAACCTATTGAAGTCAGTGTAAAAGTTCTTGTTGGTTTTGTTTAGTCGAGATTTGTCTTCAGGTTTCTACAAGCAGCATTTCTACTAGTTTGTGTTTCATTTGGACTGAACTTGCCTTATAGTGAACTGAGTTTTTTTCTTTTCCATTGTACTGAGCATTTACTAAGTAAGAAGAGAATTTTCAATTCGTTTTAAGTGATGATATGTAATAAAATTAACCTTTCAAAAGTAGTTGAAAAGCTAAATCACACCAGTTCTTTATGAAAATGTAGAGAACTGATGTTTGATCGTTCACAAGAGAAAAAAAAATTGAGTTTTGGAGGATGAATTTGATCTCTAAAACTTGCAGAGAGCACAATACATGTGTTGCTATAAAAGTTACTTCAGAAATGTATATATTCTTTAACTTTAGATTACAGTGTCTGGTGGGTTAATATTCAACATGGGTGCTACGCCAGAGAAAAAATGATAGGACCACGTGTGTAATGGCTCTTAGTAACAAGCTGTATGCTTTTACTAGAAGATTGGTCTAGGCTTTTCAAAGTTGTGATGGTTTAGAATATTATAAGAATGAAGAGCCTAAATTGGGAAAGACCATGGTATCTTAGAGGATTTGAATACATACACTAGAGAAGATACTCTTCTCTGTGATTTAATTAGATTTTCTGTATCTCAGTAATTAGCCTAAATTTATGTGCAGATATTCCTATTAATGTATGTGCAAACCTGGCTTTCTGTTAAATAGCTGGGTCAGAAAACACTTTAGTTATATAAAGCCTTTAGTTTGCCTTACACGTTTAGTCTCTGTAAGGGCGAATTTTCTCCATCTATGACTGTTTTGAATGAATGGTACAAGTTACTTTTATTCTTATGAGTGTTTGCTGTGTGTAAGTGTTCCCGGTACTTGCTTGCTGATCTTCCTAATTGATAACACGTGCAATTTTCAGACCAGAACTACAAAACAAAATGTGCCTCGTGACCTTTCTGTGGTAGCGTTTAGTGAATCATACTCTTCATTCCCAAGCTAGTTGTCTTCTCCCCCTCTCCCTCCACCTTTGACATCGATGCAAAAGACTTTCCTAAAGCTAATTGCTGATGAAAAATGCAAAAGGCTTCTGCCAAAGGATTAAGGAAAACTTGAGATGACCTTTTGGTTGTTGAAAGCTGGGAATTCCTAATGAGAATATTTTAAAAGAAAATACACTCTCCACTTGTTTTGTGATCTCTTGATCCCTTGCCAGAGAATGTAACTGTGCTGACTCGATGATGCTCTTGCTTGCCTTACTGGATCTTTAGCTGGATCGTTTCCTATTAATATCTCTGCTCATTATTTATCATGTTGACTTACAGCCAAATAAAAACACAGTAGCTGTTTTCTAAAACTGGAATTTTGTTCCTTCAGCACTTGTTTTGCTTTAATTTGAGTTGTCATTTAGTACTTCTAACTGTAGTTACTGTGCTTTAATGTACTCACAAGCATTTTTTTAATAACCAAAAAGAAAAAAAAAAAACACAAACACACACAAAACTTTTCAAAACCTGATAGAAAATAATGAGTTTATTCAACTAACTATGATGCAATCTATTTCTTTAGCACCTGGAAAATATTTTTGTAATGCCATTGTGTTTTGTGCCAATTCATAGGGAGGGGCTGATCTTTGCCCATCAGCAGACACAGAAGAGATGACACACACATACAGAGTCCAAAACTAACACCACAACAGTGTTTACCTTGAGCTCTGGCAGGAAATCATTATTCAATCTGGTTTGTTTTATCAGGCAATTCCAGGGCCACACAGATGGAGCCAGCTGTATTGACATTTCTAATGATGGTACCAAGCTCTGGACAGGAGGTTTGGATAACACTGTCAGATCCTGGGACTTGAGAGAGGGGAGACAGCTACAACAGCATGACTTCACATCACAGGTAACTAGATTTTCCTACATCTTGGGTGGGGAACAGCGGAATGTTTAGGGTGAAAGCTGAGAAATGAACCCAATGCAACTGGCAATTTTTTTTGTCTGATTGTTTTGTTTGCTTTGGCTGTTCATAACACAATATTTTGGAGCTTTCATATGTTAATCTGCTCTGAAACAACTGACACTACTCTCTTTCCATATTTTTTTTTTCTAAGGTAAGAGGTAAGAATGGGTAATTTAGTCACTTGAATTTTGATAAGCTGTTTCACTATTGAACTACGTCAATTCTGTTTGGCCCTTGTCTTCCCACCTCTCTCAATTCATTTAATCACTGTATGAAAAAAATAAAAAGTGTAAATGTTGCTGAATTTTCAGATATTTTCCCTTGGTTATTGTCCTACTGGTGAATGGCTAGCTGTGGGAATGGAGAGCAGCAACGTGGAAGTGCTACATGTAAATAAACCAGACAAATATCAACTGCACCTTCATGAAAGTTGTGTATTGTCACTCAAATTTGCTTACTGTGGTAAGTTGCCCTGAAGATGTCAGGAATTTATTTCACGCTTATTTCACACTTAATTGCACAATCATAACTTTTTTGATAATCAAGATGTATTTAATATCTGTTAATTTATGAGTAAATATCTCTGTTTTATGAATGCAAATGTATTTAGCTATGAACAGCCATTTATTTATTTATTTAAAGGATGGTGTAAGAGTTGAGTTGTTTGTAAAACATTGTTTCTGCTTAGTGTGGGCTTTGTGTAATGGTAATTAGCCAACGGATTTCAATTTGACCCAAAATCTGTCAGATGATTCATCTGTTTTCATAGTTTTTCTGTTTCATATTCTAGGTAAATGGTTTGTGAGTACTGGGAAAGATAACCTTCTTAATGCATGGAGGACTCCGTATGGAGCCAGTATCTTCCAGGTAAGCACGATGATGTTTTTAAAGAGAAGAAAAAAAAAAAAGGATTTTCTAGTTTTTTTTAAGTCCCAAGAGTGGATTCATATCTCTTTACCTATGTGATCTAACCAAAATGGGATGCTGAGATAAGGGTAATAGACTTTTTTTTTTTTTTTTTCAATGAAGTAATATATTTCTATTTTTCTTCTAGTCCAAAGAATCTTCATCAGTGCTTAGCTGTGACATCTCTGTGGATGATAAGTACATAGTCACTGGCTCTGGAGACAAAAAAGCTACAGTCTATGAAGTTATCTACTGAAAAATATGCTGGGGATATAACTTTTTAAAAGTTGAACTGGGCCAAAATTGTTCTTAATTATAGAAGTAGAAAGGTTTTGCCTTTTAAAAAGGAAAAAGAGGATTGAGGTTCCAGACCTTGTCATGAAACTACTCCGATTTTTCAAAGTAGAAGGCAATGTCCAGCAACTAAATATTGGCTACGTGGACCAAACAGAACAAAGAGGCAAGATGGACAGATGTAGCCTAGTTTTTTGACGTAGATTTTAAAGCAAAGTCTGCTGAAGAATGTTGAAGCCTTTTTTTTTTTTTTTGACCTCATGCAAATTGTTCTCATTGCCTGAATATGGGGATAACCTTTTCTGTTCCTTGCAATTCAACTTGCATTCTGTCCTGTGTAGAGCAGCAGTGTCTCAGATGAACTTGTTTCCTGGTTCTGCATCTTGTGATATGTTTTTGTATTTTTGTTTAAGGTCAAACATTTGTATAAATTGTAAATATGTTTAGTTTATTACAGTAAAAGCTTTAGTACAAACAACCACTCTTCTCCCCCCTCCCCTTCACCCCCTGCTTATTTAAAAAAAACTTTTGGGGATATAAGTACCTTTTTAGAAGCAAAAGTAAACACTATGTATAGTTTGAAAACTGTCTTATTCTTTATAACTCTTCGTAGATTTCTTTATCATACTTCTAAGTAATTGTTTTGACATATTAGGGTATCAATCTGGTAGATACTGTCTTGTGCTGCAGAAAAACTAAAAGGCAATTTTGTACTAATTATAGTGTAAATATAAAAATTGAACATTTCATAAAGTTGTGCAGTTTAAGTTTATTGTGATGTCCCATGTATATGTTATTTGGCAGATACATTAATATGTGCCTGATCATAATTATTTTGGTTGTCTCTCTAGAAGAGATGATGTCCCTCTCCTTTCTCCCACAGCTGAACAGAGTTCATGAAGGACTACATTTCGACTAAGTACATCAGAGGCTTTATTCTTTTAACTGAGGATGTGTATGATTAAACAAAGCTAGATAAGTTGTGTCCTTCATATTTTACAAAGGAAAAGTGGTAGCTAATAACAGTTTCCTTTTTAATGGCTTGTCTATACATAGATACTCAGGTAAATTTAATTAAATTACCAAAGTGTTTTACAACAAAGAGTTTTACAGGGGATCACTTAAATGATGTTAAATACTTGCAACGACTGCAAGTGAAGTGAATTAACCTAAATTAAGTTAAACTTGCTTCTTAATTTCTTGTGGGCATATTGGTAAAGGATTTTTTTGCTTATTAACTAATACACTGTATAAATTAATCAGAATTAATTTTCTAGTGTCTCATATTAGACAGGCCTATAGGCTCTACGTATCCATACTGAGCAGTCTTTGAGTCCCTCAACTGTTGCATCAGTGTGACATCTCTGAAGAGCTATGCTGAGCAGCCAGTTACCAAAGTTATGCATCTTTAAATCAAGTTTTCTCAATGTACTCAAGAGAAATGGGTGAGGAGAGAATGTGTACATTTTATTCCAGATATGGGGATTTTTTATTTTTTCTTTTTAAATTAGTGAGTTCTACCACTATGTGCTGGACAAACCTAGCTATTATGCCAGTGAAGGCCATACATTTCCTATGTTCTGTAGTTTTATTAGAACTTGTGTTGCTAAGGGAGATCACAGACGAACAGAAGGATGTCTTTGAACAAAATATTCAGTTTACACAAACTGGCCCAGAAGTTAACACTCATCTTTGAAAAGCTACTTTTTCATTTTGCTAACATTTGATAGTAACTTATATCTGTGCTTTATCAAAGACTCATAACCAGGAAAAATTAAGTTTGACTTACAGAGGCATTGACTGGATATGGGATTTCCCATCTGAGGGTCAAACCTTCTCTTCAATTTTCAGTCTGAAGAGACAGTTTTCTTTTGAATTTACATGACCATTCTACTGAACCGTTTCATAGCATCTAGAATTGTAGTAGCACTAAAACATAGAGTTTGCGTTTGGAATGTGAAATGTTAATCATTCAGGATAATGTAGTTTCCTAGACGTTTAAAATTAGCATTCTATCCATATGTATCTATATATTTGTCTATAGCTGTGTTGTGAATATGTATCTGTATGAAAATAACAGACCAGCTTTAGTGGTGGTCATGTTCCTTTCATACGTACTGATGCAAAAGCAGAATCTTAGGCTCTTCAGAAAAAAAGAATTATATTTGCTACACTCAAACACTGTGAAGTGTTACGCCATTTTAAAATGAGAAAGTTAAAAAAAAATAATAATTTGTACTAGATTACTTAATTTTTAGGCTGACCCTGTTTTCGTGTAGAAGTTATTCCAGACATCTGACTCTGTCTGCTTAGTAGTAGCACTGGCAAAGGCCAAGACAACAGTTTGCTTCAGTTGAGAACATTTGGATTTCTTCCAAAGAGATACACAGTCACCGTGGCTTTTAATTCACAAGTATTCTTTTGCCTTTCTTAAAAGCTGATAGTAGAGAATCCAAAAATGCAAATATTTATATAACTATTGAAAATAAACATATGTATGTCATGGTTCTGCTATAAGTTGCACCATAGTACTTGTTAGTAAGACTGACCACATTATTGGTAATCTAGAAGTTCAAAATGATACCATCAGGAAAATCATGACATATCTTGTCTTTGTCAGTCATAGTCTGAGCTGCTATGGAACGGGACATTATTTATGCATGTGCATTAATTTAGTCGCATTTATACATTATTTTTTTTTTCAATTGTAATGAATTTTTTTTTCCCAGTCAGTTATACTTGTAAGCCTTGTATCTGAAAGCATGAGGACTCAATTTACAATAGTCCTCTCAATTTCTTGTTTCATGTTTCTCCTTATATTTTGCAAAAGGTTTTTTTTTTTCATTTGTCACAGTCAAATATATTGCACCAGCAGATACATTTTTTAATGACACAATAGATTTGATGAAATCTTGGTACATCTCTTAACTATTACCTACAAAATTTAAAACTTGTAGAGCTTGAAACTTGTGTAAATTCCTTCAGCACTGTATAAAGTAGTGGTTGGAGATAACTGCATCTTGAATGAAGAAACAGACCAAACCAGACCAGCAGTAACAGGGCACTGGGAAAGAAAATGGAAAAAAGGGAGCAGCAGTAACTATGGGGTAGGTAATTATTATTTTCTGTCAATTTAATTACAATCTTAAAAGATTCCTTTGATTAGCCCCTTTCTGGGACATTCTTTGTTCGCTGGGTGGCCCTCCGTATTCAGAGATGTCTGAATGCCACTCTGGCAAACAGTAACGCCAGACAGAAGCAGGGAGTCCTTACAAATGACATACTGGATGTCAGTGCAAACAATAACTAGTGAACAGGAGATTTGTGGTAATATCAATTAAACTGAATGAAATTCTTCGCAAATTCTAAATACTATATTTTGTATGCGTACTAGGCATCAACTTTTATAAGTCAGTTGTGCACAACGTCATGACAATATTCTGTGCAATACCATTGTCAGTGTGGCAGGGTACATCTTTTTTGCTGTAATTCAAAACAAAGATATTTCCCCACATCAACCCACAAGTCTCTAGTTCTTGAGAAATAATTTTCATCCTCATTAATTCTTTCAAATTCATTTAACATTTCAAAAGCTTTTATTTTTTTAAAGGGAAGAGGGAGCACCAAAAGGAATATGAAGTTCATATCTTTTCTTTTTTTTTTTTAAATAAGCATCAAAATGTAATCTGTCATTTTATCACATGCATACTTTTCTGTATAAATGACTAACCATTTGTTTGTCTCATCTTGGCAATGGTAGTGCAGGCAGAGTTTTCAGAAGCATCTAATTTACTACAGTGACATAAATGCAGACAGACAAATTGATATTTTGCTATGTTTTTTGGTTTGGGTGTTTGTTTGTTTTCCCCCTAAATGACTGCCCATACATTAACTTATGGGATCATGCTATCTAGTTGCAGTCCTTCATACTTTCTGTTGAATTGATGTAATTTTGATTTGTTGGGGGAAGTTCCACCATTCCAGTGATTTTAAAAAACAACAACAACAAAAATGGATCTTAATATTTACACACTAAAGAAGAATGGAAGAGTGCTGAATCCACATTTCAGACTCATGATAGTGCGTCTACTTACAACTTAGTTGGAGAAGCTGAACTGTCTTCAACTGTTTGGTCTCTTGAAAGGATTTTATTTTTTTTTCCCATCAAAAATGCATAGAAATAATGTGAGAAAGTAGGTGTATGCAGGACTTAAGTCATAGTTTCGTCATCATGTCATTTTGAGTCCTTTTTTAACAGAATAGGAGAGCTGAAGCAACTCAGTGTAGAACCTGGTGAACACCAGAAAGAATGAAAGAGTTGAGGGCAAAGAATAAACAGGGAAAGAGATCACCTATTGCTCCAACCTGTTCTAGTGGTAATTTAACAAGTGATCCACAAAATTTACTTAGAACAAGGTTTCAGTATGCAATTTCACTGAAGACTATTTCTCCATAAATTTTCTGCCTGGTAATTCAAGGACACCTGAACTGGAATTGAAAGTGGACGTTTCTTTGACATTCATAAACAGTCATATAATCCTAAGAGGAAAGGGAGTTAAATCACAACCAGTTCTCAACATTTTCCATTACCTAATATTTTTGTAGCTAAAGCTCAGCTTCCCAGCACTTGATAATCCCATTTTCAGCAACATGCTCCCAGATGTCCCATTGCAGCTTAAGTGCTTAGTGCAGCATGGTAAATTTTGCTAGGGAAACCAGACATACAGTGCTTTAAAAATCTACCTTGTAGTTCTAGCTTACTGTCATTTCTGAGTTTACTCAATTTCTGTGGAACTATATAGGAGACCTCATCCACTCATTAAAAAAAGAAATATCTCTAGAAGAGCCAAAACAGTGTTTTGAACGCATTTTAGCACATGGGTGTGGGGATTTTTTGCTTTTAATTTTGTTTTGTTTTGTTTTTGTAACTTAAAAAAGAATCTCTAAATTCAATACAAGAAAACACAAAGGGAAATAGGAATAATAAATTAAGAATGCTTTATTTTCAGTGGGCAGAATGTTCTTAAAGATGCTGTACCTCGAAACAAAGGAATCTATCACTTCTGCAATATAACAATTCTTGAGAAATATCAATTTATGTTTCTTTGGAGCTAAAGTGCTTCTCTCAGAAAACAAAGTTGGTGATGTGGAGACTCACATCAGTTATACTTCCAAATCTGAGGATTTTTTTTTTTTTTCGTTTTTCTCTCCATATTCCATATTGCCAGGTTCCACAGTTCGCTCCTAGAAGCTGAACATCAAACTGTGCCCTTTCTGGCTCATGCTCCAGTAAGAATTTTGTGTCTAACAAGTCTGTTGGTGATGCATAGACCACAGGAAAATCTGTGGTTTATGAATCTTTCAGTGGATAGCTGCACAGATAGTATCAGCCAATGTATGTTGTAATAATTTCCTTTACTAAAGCAAGTAACCAGAGATAAAATAGTGTAATTGTTCATACTTTTATTGTTTGCAGAATGTTTGGTCAGTATAGTTGACTCAATGTATAAAAAACCTGTGGTGTCTATGGTGGCTCCTGAGATAAAAAGTTGATTTTGAGATTGTTTCTCTCCTAAAAATTCACATGCAATTTTTCCCGCAGTAAGATTATATAGATTCATAGAGAGACGCTGAAAGGAGCACTAGACAAGCTTGGCAAGGACTGTCTTTGTTATGTTTACAGTACAACGGTACAGTATCTCTTGAACCTTATTTCTATCTGTGTTTTTTTTTTTTTTTTGGCAATAATGTGTTACGCAAAGATAACACACTGTTTTGAGATTAAGTAATCAAACGTACTATTATATTTTCCTTACCCCTTTATATACTGACATTAGCATAAAAAGTGGAGTTGATGGCTTGTAACTGAAAAATAGTAAAGGCCAGTTTTCCTTCAAGAGCAGATTTTAATGGCAGTTTTAAAAAGTTAACAAGCAGAATGAAGGAATCATAAATGGAAGTTAACCCATAGCATTGGGAAACTTAGAAATCACTTGTTACTTCCCTGGTAGTGAGCCTAATTTGTTTAAAATAAAATCCATCTGTTCATTTCACAGTCTTTGTTCCACTTCTTACAACAATCCACAGTGGATTACTCCATTACTTTAAAAACTGGCTGCAATTATGATAAGCTAATAACTCTTATTTTGTGGTTTGCTGTAGCAAGATGTTTTGGAGAACAACCAAGATTTCCTTTATTCTTAAAAAAATAATCCAGCTATTGACTTAGTGGTTTGGTTGGTTGGTTGGTTTTCTGCAGCTGGACCTGAGTATTTTCTTGATAAGGCTTCAAGTAAATATATAATCTGATGGCTTTACAAATTTACAATATTTTCTATGGTTGGGGAATCAGCCAAACTCTGCTGTTGGGTATGTAAATGACCCTAACGTCACTTTGATATTTGCTTAGAATGTCACGTATGCCACAAAAGTTTGGGGTTCAGCAATCTGATTTTCATGGCCACATTAAATTTACTTCCTGAAATACACGTTTTCTACAGGGACCAGTTTACTGCTGTGCTCCTGTGTGTCTCCTCTTGAATACATATTATTCCTCTACAGATGTTTTCATGTCTTTTACATTAATAATAACTTTTTCTGATTGATAATTATGTAGGGTGTGAATTTCCAACATTCGTTCGGTGACTATTCACTAATCTAGAAATATGAGTGAGTTTTTGAATGTGTACTTCAGAGAGTTTATAAACCTGTATAAAGAAATCATTAATTTTAGTTTAAATTCAAGATTCTCAAGTCCTGGTATTATTTTGTGTTTTATTAATGAATCCTTTAAAGAAAATTTTTGTGTTTTTTGAATGGATTTGATAGCTTTTTTTAAATTGTTTATGTAGATGATCTTCTTTGTTGAGTGCAAATTATTGACCTGGTACTCTATTTATAATTTTTCCCTAGTTCTGCAATACTTTTAGTTAGCTGTAACTTATTAAAAAACACAAAAATGAAATGGGGATATTAATGGTGAGTGGTTGAAATTTGAGAGTTTTCAAATGCATGTTAGGATATTTCAACACTTTGTTCAGTGTAATTTTACATTTTTTTCATTACTTAAGTAATTAAGAAAATCATTAGGGTTGAATTACAGTAAATTTTTATACATGTCAGTACTCTACACAAACTAATTTTATCTCCCAGTGGACAGCAATAATTTAGATTTTTTTTTTAATTCTGCCTAATTTATTCTTACTGACAGAAGGGGGAAATATTAACCTTACAATTTTTGCTAAGTAGCATGAATATTGTTGTTAGTTCTTAATAATCTCCATGCCTTCAAAAACTTGTTCTTCTATATTTTGAAGTGAAACATACAGATATACAGGGTACTGTAATAAAATGTGTTTACAGTATTTATCCCCTGGGTTTGCGGTAATAGAAAGGGGGAAGTGCAGTGACAGATATAACTTGCAATAGTTGCTAGTGTTATGTGCCTTTGAATCATTTTCTTTAATTCATTATTTTTTGTACCTTAAGTGAAGGTTAGTGGATCAGTTTAATTTATGTTACAGCAGGTATGTTAATACGTTCTTAAAGCTTTTCTAATTTTACTAACTCTCCAAATCATTTTAAATAAGTAAGGTAAATGATTTGATAGTATGGATGGTTTTGAACTGGTTGTAGACTGTTCTATTTTACTTTTTAGGTTTAAAGCACTGCTAGAGTAGAGATAGAACTTATCAGTGATATTTGGCTTTTTTATGCTTTCATTTTGTACTGTATGTGATTAGTGGGGATTTTTTATTTATTTTTTTTTACCACAATAGGTGTGCCCACTGTAGTGGCTTTTTTTTAAATATTCCTATAGTTTGCACTGTGTGATTCATTTGAATTGAGCTTACAAGTCAATCCCTTTTTGTAGCCATC